CGAGCGTCCTGAGCGGACCCCCCGCTGCCGCCTGCCCCACCAAGTGTACCTGCTCCGCCGCTAGCGTGGACTGCCACGGGCTGGGCCTGCGCGCCGTTCCACGGGGCATCCCCCGCAACGCAGAGCGCCTGTGAGTACCCACCCCGCCCGCGCAGGCCACCCACCCCGCTCCTACAGAGTCGCCCTCAGGGCGCCGGGTCCTTCCCTCCTCTCCCGCGCGCGCTGGGGACGACCTCAGTTCTCCCCTCCGCCATCAGACACTCTCGCTAAGTTGGGGGGTAGCGTGGCTTTGGGCAGGTGTGGAGAGAAGTGTCTGAGTTCCCCGGCGCTGGGGACCAGGTAGTGCCTCTCTAGGTGAGGGCTCCGGGAGCCCATCCGCTGACAGCTCCGGAGAAGAAAGCTGGCAGAAGGCAAGGGGTGGGGGAAGAGTGGTGGTCTCAAGGTTTGAGGTTGTGTGTGTAAGGGGTGTCCATGCTTCTTGCTTCTTAAAGAGGGGGCGAGGGAGCAAGCCAGACGACGATGGGGTGTCTTGATTGCAGACACCCCCACCAAAAAAAAGCTGTGCACCCCCCCCCCCTTGGAGATCAGAATGAGCCAGCTGCCGTGTGGCTATCCTTGCAAGGAAAGTTCAGAGTATATGTGAAGGTCTTAACTTCTGAAGAACCGGATGAATTCTGAGTGGGTGCTCTCAACACCCTCCCTGCCTGGAGCGCAGCTTTGGGGATGCCAAGTTGCAGCCCGGGTGAATTTTTTATGGCTGGGTTATAAATGCCTTCCCAAACGGGCCGGAGAATGGAAATGCTGACAGCCCTTTAAATGAGACCTAGCGCTATAATCTTACAAACCGCACTCAGCCTTGGATCCTGGGGTTGGCAGCTAGCTGGAGAGGCTCTTGGAGAGTGGGGTGGATTGACCCTCGTTTTAACCCCAATTGTGCAACCAAATATTTACTTTTCTTATGTCAGCGTTTTGGAAAGATTTATCATTTTGATCCTCAAGACCAAATTCAAAGTTTGGACTTCGGGGGTGGGCTCCTTTTAGTCCACGGTTGGGGCCAGGGTGAGGGAGGGTTTGCACTCATCAGAATTCCAGCCATTGCACTGACCAGTTGCACTCTGCCCAGCCTGTCTTAGGGGTAGGCATACCAGTCTTCCTCAGGCCTGCCTGCTTTAGGTCAGGAGAGACCAGGAAGGAGCTGAAGTGTCCTAGCTGCCTACCCCTGGTCACCTCACCTCCGCTCCTCTCTTCCTTTTCCTCTTGGTGGCTGTCTAGGCAGAGACTTCTTAGAAATGCCTTCCTTACGTCTTCTTTTGTCTGTTGTTTTCAAAGTGCAATGTTTGTTCTGTCGCTGGAGCTGTAGAATCCTGGAGGGCTGGCCCTGAGTCTTCATTAACACTGGGAAATTGGGATCAGAAATGCAAACTAACCTGCCCAAGAAAACAGAGTAAATAAGGGACAGGAAAGGGGCTGGAATCCAGGCATCCACACCTTCATTCGGGTTGTGTATTAGACCCTAGCAGTGAAAACCTCATTTAAATGGTGTTTGTAGGTATGGATACACTAGGTTCCCTTCCTCGTGTGAATGCTGCCGATGAGTTAGTGGAATGATAACTGTGCAGATGTTTAGTGGGTGCCTCTCCTGGTACCTCCTTGAACCTCCCCAGCAGACCTATTCCTCACACAGGCGATGCTCATGACTCTCATGGATTCATGATCATGTAACCAGTGAAGTGTTTGAATCCCAGCCTGCCAGGTTTCTAAGCCCAGGTCTTTCACCGCCCTGCAGACTCCTTGGATCCAGAGTCAGTCTGGGCTGTGATCTCTAGACAGACAGTCCTGGGAGGGGAAGGTCTAGCTGGGCTTGCGGCTGCTTTTGGTATAGATTGCCATCATTCTTTCACATCAGCTCTCTTACTCGGGGTCATGAAACTATTTTCCATAGTCAGGATCATGTTGTCGGTGTGGGAAGATCAGGGCAGTGGGCCTCTCTCTTCTGGCTAGTCAGAAGTTTTCAAATATGCCAGCCACTTCCCCCAGAGACCCTGGAGACTTAGTCCATCTCATCTGCTCTACAGCTGGAGAGAATAGATAAAGATTCTGGATGAAGGACATTCCCGTGGGCGTCATTACTGTAGCCACGGTCACCAGGCAAGGGCAGCGTAGGTGCTGCTCTGACATGTCTGTGGTGACATGTCTGTGGTTATCTGGTGCAGCTTTGGTCACGGGGAAGGTTTTGGCTTTAAGTGCATGGATATGACAGAGCTGCCAAGGCTGACCTCTCAACTCCTTTCTAAGACTGGAGGTAGACTTTTAGAGCAAGCAGGGTCGGGGCCACCTCAGGTTCAAGGGCAGCCCACCAGCAGCCCTTCACCACCCATCCTGGCTCTCAGGGAGTCAGATGGAATGCCGTAGTACTGTTCAGCCACACCATGCTAAGGATTGCAAATCTCTCTCTCTCTCTCTCTCTCTCTCTCTCTCTCTCTCTCTCT